ACATAGGGTGCTAATGCCTTCCCTTTGTATAACCAACCCATGTACCTTAGATCTCTTCTCTGTGCTTTGCTTTTAGTTTTTGCTTCGTGCATTGCATGATAAATATAGGGTTTTATTTTTTTATTTTTCCTTGGAAACAATAAAGTTCAGTGGTGACTTCTAAATTTTGTGAGTCAAGTTAGTCAATAGTGTGATGCGGTGGGAGAACTGACTTGAGGTTTTGCATTTGTGTTTGCAAATGTTTTGGTTTAGCAAGAGTCGCCACCGACTATTTATTTTATCCAAAGGAAAGGTCAAAAAGCACAGGAAAGACCTTTGAGATTGTTTTTGGGTTCGGGGGGTAGATTATGAAAAGGGAAGGTGCTAGCACCCTTTTCATCCATGGTTTTTCATGGGCTCTTAGTTACTTGTTTTAGATCACTTGCTTTTTCTTTTCAATTGTTTGAAATGGTGCTTTTGTGTGTGATTTTGAAAGTATTTTGAAAAGAGGCATTTGTTTAGGCAACCTTTGTAATGATTCTTGTTTGCATGTATACAAAGGTGTTTGTCTTTTGAAAAATGTTTCAATGTTTGAAAGTTTGTTTGGAAAATTGTTTTGAAATTGTGTTGAGTGTTTTTGAAATTAATAAGGATGGTTTGCAAGTTTGATCAAGTAACTAGGAGTTGTCTACCCTACTCAAAGATCTTTCCTACACATTTTTAACACTTTGACATTGTTGTTTTACCATTGTATTTGGTAAACAACCTTGTCTTTGGATGTTAAACGGGACGGGCGTGGGTCATCGTATGACTATGATAGCAATTGTGCCAAGTATTTTAGCAAATTTTTTTGAGGGACTAGATCATTTGTGTATAGGCAACCAAGATAGCGTCATCGAGGGACTATGATCTTTTTGTTTTGTTTTTATTTTGCCAAGACACCTAGCATGCATACCATGGCCATTTTTAAGGCAACAAGTGGATGAAACCCTAGGGGTGCTTGTGTGCATTGTGTTGTCATTTTCATGTATTTTTGTCTTGTGTTTAGTCATGCTATTTGTTTTTATTTTTGGTTATCATACAAACCATAATTTTACTATCATGCATATCAAAGCAATAAAATGCGTAAAAGTAAATCTAAGACTATTACAACATTATTATGGGGAGGGGTACAAATTTGAATAAGGGGATATTGCTCAAAAATAAACCCTAAAACTATTATTACAACCAAATTGAAATATTGCACAAATAAATAAATGGACAAATATTTAAATATGCAAATAAATATAAATATGCAAAAGAATGTTTTTTTGTATTTTATTTTATGTATGTAAAATAAATTATTTTTGTCTAAAAAATAAATAAATGATTATTTTTGAAAGGGTGGAAACCCTAGTTTTTGTTTTAAGAAAAATATATATTCTATATTATTTATTTATGTAGAAGAAAATAAATAAAAATATATACAAAAGTGTTAAAAAATTAAAATGTGTGAGAAAATATTATTTAAGTGTATAAATAATAAAAATAAAAATATATGATATTTTTGTATTATTTACAAATTTTAATTAAGAAAATAAAGTAACATTAACCTAATAACTATTTATTATGCAAATAAAAATAAAATAAAAATATAATAAAATGCCAAAAATAAAGAAAATAATTATTGTGATTTTAAATGTTCAAGAAAAAATAATAAAGTCAGAAAAGAAAAATATGCAAAAATAAATCAAATGGGCCAAGGGGTGCAGAAAGCAAGCATGGGGGTGCAAATAGTCAGCCAAAGCCAGGCCCAGCCCAGATTCCACTTCATCTCTAACCTCTGAACAAAAATACGCGCGCCTGCAACTTCAAACTTGTTCTCTCTATTCTTTGCTTGAAATAAAAAAACTTACAACATGAAAATTATAGAGCTTGAAACCACGATTTCAACCATGTAAAAAACTTAATCTAACTCTAAGAAACCAGGGAGAATTTCAGTGCCCCTAATTTATGACCTAATTTTTTCAGTAAGTTCAACTATCAAATACTCCTAGCTCAGTTAACATAAATGAATTTTATGCATATGTACAACTCAAGGACAATGAGGATTACATTTTTGCTTCACAAACCTAAGCCTAATGATTCCTAAATATGGAGATAGAAGTTTGAGAAATACTTGTTTCAGTCAAGTTTGAATATGGCAATACAAGAGTTTTGAATGAGGCTTAAAGGACTTTTGAGCTTGCTTGATGTTCCCTTGACCTTTCCCAATGCTTAGTTTGCTTTGAAATGGCCTGAATGTCTCTATAGAACTCAACCTACAAACTCAGAATTTAAAAATGGTGAAGCTTGAAAATGAAGTTACAGTTGCTTGAGAATGGTCTGGACAACTTAGGTGTATTATTTAGAAAGTTTTTGAAGTGGTTTGGGACAAAACGCACGAGTGGAAATGGTTTTGGCTTCTGATTTGCAGAACTTGCCCTGTTTTTGCAAGAACTTGTGATTTTATGCTTAAGGGTGTTTGAGAAGCTTGTAACTCGTGTTTCTGGCTTGATATAATGTGTAAAACTTGTTTGAAATGAAACCAAAGCTTACTCTTATCAGATTACAAAGTTGTGTGGACTTTTGCAAGTTACTTGCTTTTTAAGTAAAAGTTGAAATGACATAGCTCAAGGGTTGTACTTGCTAGCTCAAAGCCTGCCCATAGTTGGTACACCTTTCCTGATATTTATGGATGTTGTTTGCATAAAGAAATCAGGTGCATGGCTCAAGACAAACCAAATTGCATAAAGTGACCTTTATCAAAGTGGCAATGTTATCTTTTTGCCAAAAATGGATTAATTTAATGTGTAATGTTCTAAAGCTCAGAACAAAGCCTCTAACCAATGTATTTGCATTTAATTTATGAGTGTAGAAAGGATTAGAACCTGTAAACCAAGTACAAGCATGCTTTGGGCAGAATTGCAAGTTGTAACATGATGCAAAATGCCTTGGACAAAAGTGATGATTTTCCATTTTCAAACTTTCGATTCTCCCTAACCACAAATGATCTTGGAGAGTTCTTGGACATTTAGGAAAGCTTGTAACATGCTCTACAATCTATCTTTGAAATGCATTTTGAGATTCCAAATGGAACTATGTGAAAAATTGCCATGAAGATAGGTCAAAATCCTGCCTAAACTACGGCAAAATTTCACTAAGTTAAAAGTTTCATGGACCCTTGTTCACAAAATCATAACTTGAGATCCAAGCATCTTTTGGGAAAACTTTGTGAATCAAAGTTGTAGATTTTGTGGAGGACTACAACTTTAATGTTGGAAGTTTTTTTTGAATCCAATTGCATCATGGTGAAAAGTTGGGAAAAGTTGGGGAAAATAAGAAATTTTCATAACTTAGAAAATTTCCAAGTTATGAAAATTTTCCATTTTAAACCCTAATTTTTAAAATTAGGTTTCTTGGTGAACAAGTTTCATGTTTTGACACATCTTGATAAAAAATGACCCTTGGCACTTGATTTTGACCAAAAAGTCAAAGTTTAACTTTTCAGTGTACAATTGATTTTTGATCAGTTGACTGGAAAATTCATCTGTCAATCCAATGCATTTGAGATCTTTTGAACCTTGTGATTAGGTCAAGATGATGCCATTGAGTCCTTGAAACCATGCTTGAACCCAATTTGCCATTGGCTAGGTAAAAAATCAGAAATTGCCCTTCTGCAGTCAAAACCCTAAAAATGACTATTTTGCCCTTTTGATGATCTGATCAAATTTCTTGAGGAGTTGTGGTCCAAACTTGATCAAATGATTCATATGAGTCTATAATATTGTTGTGGATCAAAAATTATGAGGTTTGACTGTAAATTGGCCACAATTGACTTTTTCCCTAATACATCTGCTTTTTAGGTCAACTGTCCAATTGACTGGGCAAAAATTTGATTCAATGCTTGAAACTTGGTATGGGCAATCTTATAAGTCCAACATGAAGTATGAAAGTCACATGAGTTAATTTTAGATTTTAATGTCTAATTTTTTTTATATATATTTGACATTTTAAATTAATATTTTTTAAATAAAAATATTAAAATAAAATAAAAATTATAAAATTGAAATTTAACTTTTATCTCAAAATTTTACGAATTCAAAAACTACAAAACTTTCAAGAAATACATATATTTGAAAGTCTAATTAACAAACTACTCAATTAGAGTTTAACTTTGCCTCAAAAATGCATAATTTCATCTAAAGTTTTATGAACCTTACAAATTTAATGAGACATTCCTAAATCGAGTTGACCAAACAATATACATATAATCACATTAACCCAAGAACCTAATAAAAATTAATTAATGAACTTAATTTTTTTACTCATTTGATTTATGAACAAAGTTCAACAATTTAATTATCGAAATGATTTTCAAATATATTCAAGTTGGTTTGATTCATTGTCAGTCCTAAAGACAAATACTAATATCCCCTGTCCTCATAATTAAAAACCGAATTTTCCCATATCTGCCTCTGCCCCCAATTAATTGAGCCGGACTTACTTGCCATGCCTACAATTTGCAGATGAAGAGAACACATTCCCAATGGATTAGGTTCAGTATTTGCAGAATCGAATGTTGACATCTCAACACGAATTACCATGCTGCCGATGCTTCCTTAGCCTTTGCACTGTTCTTGAAAGTAAAAGGCTAAAATTGCTTTAAACTTGCTCTTTCCATAAAAAGATCATAATTCCATTTTCCAAAGTTGAAAAAGAATTCTTTTTAATCTGTGTCCCTTCAGAAGTTAGAAAACAAAAAAAAAAATGCAAATAAAAGCACAAGACAATAAGATAATTATAATCTATAGATTAGTGAGCATTTATTTCCTTTTATCTTAATGTTATCAGTTATATAAAGACATTTTAGAGAGGCCAATTTACAATAATAATAATATAAAGTAAACAAGGAACTAACAATGTATATACTTCGTCAAAAAGGGGATATACAATACAAATTAAGCTGCAGCGTATAGAGCTCTTCTAACTGCTTGTTGATTTCACTTGTCCTTGCTATTTCTCGTGTAGTTAGAAAATGATAATCTTGACTGTGGCTGAAAAAAATCAAATGGTGCTCCTGGTCCGAAAGATCTTCTCGTGGAATTTGGAGAATCTGATAGCAGAGGTTCAAATACAGGATTTCTGTTTTTGGGTTGTGCTATTGACAAGGTAGAAACATCTTTCTCCATAGATCTGAGCTGAGGCTCAATGGTGGCAAGAGACAAAATCGGTCCCCCTACGCGCTCAGCCTGCTGAAGTATGTTGATTTTGCTCGATTTATATGTATATCTAAAGTACTTGATGGCTAGAATTGGACCCATCCCAGCTGCAGTCATGAGCTGCATCGTAAAAGATTTAGTTGTGAAATCTCATGAACTGATAAACGAAACGAGAATAAGGAAATAATGGGATTATGTTTGATATGTTTGTTGTTTACATTTTCAGTTGTTGCAATAAACTTACAAAGAAAATAATAAACACAACAAAATCATGTATGAATCTTCATGAAGGGAGAAATGGAGAGAGGTTAAAATGAGAATGAAGATCATTCCATTGATGGCAAAAGATGAAGAAAGGTACTTACAAATATTGTTATCCAATATGACGGTTGTCGACACAACCGGAACATAATTGTATACATCCCTGACGAAGGAAGAGCACTAAAGATCCAGTTGATGACATAAAAGGCAGCCAAGTTGCCCCATATAGCCAGATATTGCAATATTGTAAATGAACTGCAGGCATCAAACATAGGTCAAACAATCAAACCATATAATTTTTTCCAGCAGGTTCAAGTAACTAACATATACTTTCAAACTAATCGATCTTTTCAAGTTCTGTTACCGATTAAATTACATTTGCAAACTAACAAAAAAATTATACTCCCCCTTCTCTTGAGATGCTTAAATTACACTACCTCTCTCCTCTAATTTTTAAAATTCCACTATTTCTCGATAATTTAAAAAATTGCATTCCCCTCACCCGAGGGATAAAGAGTATTAATATCTTTAATCTTTTTAAATATATAAATTTAAGACAGGCTAAACTGTGATACATAGTCATCACTCCAGTAAGTAGAGTGTAGTTTTTAAAATTAGAGGGAGATCTGAGGAGGGAAGTGTAGTTTTACTAAGAAAGAGATGTCCAACCAAAAAAAAAATCATTTCCATTTAAGAAAGGAAACTAAAGACCTAAGCTAGTTCTTTTAATTCATTACTAACAGAAACGCATCTAAAGCTGTACTAATATTTAAGCTTACTTGGTCTCCATTGTTATTACAAAAGCCTGCAACCATATACAACCAGAAAGTGCAACCATAGAAACCTCCTCCATTTCACTCTTATCGTAGGCATATGAATGTATGCTTATTATAAATACAACTACTGCCTGCAATTGACAATCAATAACAATGAGGAACTATAATGCCATAAAATGTTCCCGAAATTAAATAATAGATTTATGGCAGAACTTTTTCTATTTTTCAACATATCACAAATTCACAACTCGAAATGATAAGCTTCTCAAGAATCAGTCATTTATAGATATTGGTTATCATTTATATAAACACAATCATAAGCAACGCTTACATGGAAGAGGGATCGCCCAAACCATCCAGCAAATGTACTAGGATTTAGAAGCCTGTTTCAATACTGATAGTTAGTTTGATGTTCACCAATGAAGTTGTTATATTCAGCGCAAGTTAAATAACATCTTTACACTTTGATTTGTTAAAAAGGATTCTCAGCTGTAATAAATTTTGATTATGCAGCTAGTAATATTCTAAAAAAATGAGAAGGCTTGGTAGAATTTTAAAAAGTGAGAAAAATAGCAGTAAAAATGGCAAACCTTCCTGCTTGGCAGTAGAATAAAATTTGAGGATGGCGGAGCACAGTTTCCTCACTAAGATCTTTGTCAAGCACACTGACCAGAACAGGAACACTAGTGTAGAAAACATTATAAGCCATCAAGCTAACAGAATTGAAGAGGCTGGTCCCAGAGACACCCGAAATAAATGAAAAACTGAAATAAAATAACTTGTCAGTACCTTAAAAGTTTGAGAATGGAAAGAAATTGAAATGTACTTATCTTGCATTGCAACATTCGTAATCAAACAACAACCACAAAAGGATAGAGAGAGAAAAACAGCATGATGTTAATGTTTCCTTTTTTGGAGCCACATGTGTGGGTTTTTGTGTACTTTCATAATAAACAATTACCCTGGACTTCTTGCTAGGGCATCGTTGTGTATGTATGTATACTCTTACTAGATTTTTTTGTATTAGGCCCATTGATCAGACCCATAGTTAAAGCTTGTCTATATATTGAGATCAGTGCTTGTACTCTTAATAAACAATTGAATTGATATTCAGAATATTTTTCTATATGCATTGATATTCAAAATAGTTTATTGTTTAATGATGAAAAGAAAAAGGAAGGCCATTGTTGGTAGAAAACTCACAAGATTTGGATGAAGCATATCAACAAGGACTTATAGAATGAATATTGGGAGAGAAATGCTGTACGGTTGTATGAATACCGGCCATGGACCAAAATTAATCTCTTTAGGAATCTAAACTCTGCAAATTAACAAAAGAATCATTATATCATTACTGAAATATGGTAGTTGTGCAGACAAAACAAGAAAGAGAAGCCACCAATCTGCCTCATAGGTCCAACCAGAGAAAAATATAAGCCTTCAAAAGAGTGTTGAATCAAATTATTGTAGCTAGTAAGAATAACATGGAAAGATTATTTCTGATACAGAACAGGAACATAAACTGAATCAGATACAAAGTCTTACTTCCAATGCTGTAATCAGCTGCTCTTGCTGCCTGCAATCCTTCTCTGCCACTTATGCCCACACCAATATCTGCTTGTTGTATCATCCTTACATCATTTCCTCCATCACCAATTGCCAATGTTCTATAATCACATGATTTTAATATCTGTACAAGCTGCATCAAATAGTGGTAAACAAGTCACACCAGTGCCGTAATGTTTTGATAAATAAACAGAAACAATACAAACAGCAGTATTATGTTCCCCACCAAGAGGAAAACAAAAAATATTTGGTATTGTCTTGTCCTTCATCTTCTAATAAGTTAATTAAATAGAATCAAGATAGGACAAACCTAGAATATAATAGAGAATAGAAACTTTGAAAAAATCAAAGTAAAATGTAGCTTCTTAAAACAAGACAGAGCAACATAATTTTACACACCAGTACTATTGTAAAAAAAACATACCTGTGCTTTTTGCGACGGTGTCACACGACAGCATATAGCAGTCCTTGACAATACTGCCAGCTCAGTGAAAGCTTTGAGGTAGTGTTTAAGAGCTATCTCAAGAGCCCATCCATCAACAACAAAAGCCACATCCTGATTGACAGTGCAGAACAATGAAAAGATTAACTTCAAAACCTTTTAAACTATCCTGATATGAATTATAATTGTTTACTAAAAAGAACGTTTTATTTCCGAACACCGCAATGAATGCATACAATACAAGAAGCATTTCACAAGACTTTATTATTACTTAAGATTGGAAAATAAATTAAGTAAATACAAGAAAGACAAAGAGTACCACGAGCAAATAATAACATATCCTCCAAGGTCCAAAAGAAACCACAAAACTCAAAAACCAGAATGAACAAGAAAAAGAACATCAAGTAAGCGAAGCTTCCCGATCACTGTATTCTACAATGATACAAAGTAAGCGTACCTTGGGCTCTGAGGTAGTTATCCGCATTGTACGAAGCACTCTTTCTAAACTTCTACAAACTTCATCTTCTGTTTTTCCATCAATTAGTAGAAGCTGTCCCTTCGGTTCTATGAATTTAAAGGGGAGGAAATTGAAAAAGGCTCTGGAGTATGACAACGATAAATAAAATAAAAAACTCCAAAGAAAAATGCATGACATTGATTGAACAAAAGTAAAATTTAAAGCGAGCTGTGAACATCCTCACATATCCAAGCTCTTCAAAAATGGGACTACAGGCGCAGCATTCAGATAAATTAAGGTTGAACCTATTGTGATTAGCTATGTTAATAGCCTATGCTGTGTACCAGAAACTATATGATAGGATTTGAGATATTTTTAAAACATATAAGGTTTTCTAGATATTTTCTGAACTCTTTTCAGTTAATAGGCAGTTTGAATTAAGGGTACACATGTATACTTTTCATGGCGCTATTAGTTGGACACTTGAACTTCAATTCATTAGGATAGACTGTCTTGTGATGCTTAGTACAGCATAACTCACCATTGTCATACCCTAGACCCTTCAAAATTTCAATACTTTCCCAAAATTAAGAGCAGTCTCAAAATCTTAATTTCTGTTTTAAATATCAAATTACTCCTTGGAGTAATAAGGAAACAAATAAAGATGACAAACAAGAAGTAAAAAAACAAATGTCCAATATGTATGAAGAGGAAGTAGGAATGGTTGTGTATAAAGCCACATAAATACTCAATATATGTCACATGTCTTAGAAATGTGTTATTTACACACAACTTTAGTGATTGAGAGAATGGTGAGAAAAAATGGAGAGAATCTTGACTCGTAAAAGGGTAGGGTGAATAAAGAAAAGCTGTGAAAATAGGTAATACTTTTTGTAATCATGTAAAGGAACTATGTCAAGTACCATATCAGTCAGGGAGAGGCCAAGTGTTCTTAGAGTATGTATATCACCCCAAAAGTTCAAAATTTCTTCATTTTATATGTAATTTGATTTTGAAAACAGTTTATTTTTAGATTAATCATTTCATATATGCTATTCATTCTCTTCAGCTACCCCAGTTAAAAAATCTACTCCACCCCTGCCACGGTTAAGGAATCAGACAGGTTTACCACTTATAAGCTTCTCCTCAAATAAATGAGACAAAAGGAGATTTGTGACGTGCACACATATATAAGTCCATTTGTTCTACATATAATAAGAGAATGGTAGGGCAACCATAGATCATAGTGAGACTCTTTGTGGCTTCATTCTTTGAACAGACACAATAAGGGTGCTATTTACATGACACAGAATAAAACTACAATGTTTGCATGATCTCTAATGTGCACTACCTGGGGAAATAAAATTACATGACAGGGCAATTTGTATTGCAGTATTCTGTTTGTCTCCTGTTAGCATCCAAAAATTTATTCCAGCTTTCCTTAGTGTTTCTATTGTTTCAGGAACTCCATCCTGAAAGATATCAAATAAAAAAGAAATGATGGCCATCACATAAACACAAGGGGAAGTCCTGCTTTAATTTTCTTTCCCTTTAACTATCTAAAGTAGACAGAAGTTAAGTAAAATTATAGGATTTTATAGTTATGATCTTAAATCAGATAACAAAAACAGAGGTGAGGACTATCTAAAAATAGATTGCTATTAGCAAATACAGCATATTCACCTGTAAGCGATCTTCTATCGCCGTAACACCAAGAATTTCCAAGTCATGTTCTACTCTTTGGCAGACCTCAGCTACCCTCCACTGTAAAGCATATTAAACTAAGACAAGTTCTTATACATTATATAAAATCAGTAAAAAGTGTTTCCTTTACCTCCCTATCAACCAAAGTGCTACTAGCTTCTTTAAACATCAAAGACCAATCTTGATATTCATCTTTCTTTAACTCGCGCCAAGCCAAACATAGTGTACGTAATCCCAAGTGAGCATATTGTTCCACAGCTTCAATGAAGTGACGGGTTTGCTGCCCTGCAGTCCGTAATGGTGTCAGTTGTAAAACTAAATAACTGCTCAACAAATGCAGGCATCAGAGTAATCACATCCAGGTAGTCCGTTAGTTGTTTCAGTTCAGTTTTGAAACTTTTATCAGTAAAATTGACCGATAAGTTTGGACAAAATCCCCACAGGTCAAAGCAATGTTTTATGAAGAAACCCATTATAATGATTTGACCATAACTGGTTTGCTCTAGATTTGATTTTTGCAACTTTTGGCAACACTGTTTGCATTGCATTATTACGTAAAAACATAACCAAAAATATAAGCAGAGATACAGAGTATGTTAGCATAGTTATTGCAAATGGTGAGTGTGCGCGTGTGTACGCGTGATATAGAATAGATAGCTACACAAACATGGGAATATTCATAGGTAAGTTAGGCAGTGTTAGTTACGTCAGTTTTAAAGCTATCCAATTAATCTAACTTGTATGATAAAGTTTGATTGTACTTGGATTAGATTGGCTTTGTTTGTCCCTATCCATGTAAACAAGGTCACAGAGAAGGAACGGGAACCAAAATAAAAAGGAACAGCTAAAAATACATCACCATAGCATAAAGACTGTCCATGTAATATAGGTCAGATTGAAAGGAAAAAAGGGAAAAGATTTAAATAACTGAGAAACATTTAGCATCTGTATTTGGTAAGGATATAACAAGGTGGTTCCAAGTTCTAACAATAAGGCATGAGAGTTAAATCTCGATAACACACTTCCTACTCATCTGAAACCCTTTAACTGGTTCTAAGCCAGCATCGCGCCAATTCATATGAATAGAAGATAATTATAATGAAGTTGGAGGAGAAGGTACTATCAAACAGTCGTAATATAAATTGAAAGAAACACCCTAAGTAAATAATATTTGATTCTCTTACAATACAAATAAGCCAAAAAAGAAAACCAAAAAACAAACCAGCACGAGCATATGGAAGAATAGCCTCATCTGCTCCCTTTGACAGGAGAAGGATCTTTCCATTTTGGCAATCTTTCAACACTACTGACATTCTTTTCCTATCAGAAGTGAACTCTAAGATCTCCAGGACTTCATACTGAAGTATAGTAGTGTTGAACTTGACTTCTGAAATATTAAAGATCATGATAATATGAGCCCAAGTAGCCAACTAATTAGCTGTGCTTCCAAAAGAAATAGCAAGTAAAATGTACCAAGAATGTTTCCACTTTTATTGAAGAAAATCATATGCAGCTGAGCAGCAGCTTGAACAAGAGCATCTTCATCCTGAGACTGTGCCTTATACAAGATATCTCCAGTTTTGCTATGTGCAGCAGTACCAGAAACAAGGATCAAATTTAAAACATTTATTCTAAAGGTTTAATAAAATTGTCTAACTAAGAAATATGCCAGTTTTGACAGTTTTCATATCTGCGGCCTAGCAAGGATGAAGGCAGAATCACCTTCGTGTGGGTATGACAGTATTACATATTGCCATAATTGTAAGAAATAGTACAGCATCAGGAGAACCACTGGAAACAGCATTAAGAAGCTCTACATCTGCATATCACATCACAGGATGTCATTAATCATGCAGGGAAACCAGCATTCCAAAACATCTTCACACAACATTCAAGGATCAAAGAAAAATGTCAATGAGTGCATGCATAAATATAATTTATAGAATCATTCCCATACTACATTCATTCCGTGCACCATAAATGCATTTTATAAAAATCAGTGTTCCATCTTGACTGTGACAGATGATATTAACGCCCATTAGCCGAGAAACCCATTATTGTACTTCCGTTAATCACTGTTCTTAATAAGAAAACTAAGACTGGTGAACTAAGGAAACATTTGGACTTGATAATGCCAGTCCTTCTGAATACCTTAAGTATGAGGGCAAGCTCTGTTAATTAATGTTTTCCATATTATGTTATAACTTATAAACCAGAACCAAATAATGATCAAATGCATTGAAGTAGCTGCTTAACCATGTAAGCTTAAAAAAATTTCAATTTTTTTCCAGTAATGAAAAAGGGTTCTAATACAGTTATTATGTAACAATGTTACAAGTAAAGAGTTTCACCAACCACACCTTTCAATGCATCTCCACTCTCATTTCCATAGAAAATTCCATTAATACAACATCTTCTGAATATCATCTTATTTTCAGTCAAGGTGCCTGTTTTGTCTGTCAAAATGTACTCTACTTGTCCAAGGTCCTCGCTTATCGCTGTACTGTCACATATGACAAACATAACTCAAAAAAAAATGTGTAAAAAACTCCAATTCATCAAACTAATTAGGAATCGGGATCCTTCAGCCACTCACTTTGTTGCATGAGATGGAATGCTAGTCTCTAGGTCAATCATTTGATGGTCCCAGTCAATAAACTTTGCATACAAGCTCTTCATTAAATCCAGAGATACCTGGCAGAGATGGAACAGTTGACTGCATCAACCTTAGATATGGTCACACTTAAAATAATCCAAAATTAATTGGCATTAGCATTATTACAAGATAATAACTTTGGTAAGAACATAAATTTTGATGACATCATTTTATTTAGTTCATAAGGTCATCAATGTTCTTCCTGCAAAAAACTACCACTCAATTTTTTTTACTACGGTTGTTTTTAAAATGTGAATATAAATGAGAAGCATGTTGAACTATATAATGGAATGCAACGCCAAAACCTATTACCAGTGGCCCACCTTAATTGAAATGGGTATCATGATGGAACAAAGAAGCTCGAACCGCAAAGGAATTACCAATAACTCATACCAAGGGCCTTCATGAGGGTAAAGAACATACCATTGCTTGAAAAAGAAAAAGGGAAAAAACATGAGGGTCTATATACATGAGTCTTAAACATAACATTTCAAAACATGGGAACTTCAAGAGAATAATTACAAGCAGGTAGCAAAACATGGACTTGCGTAAAATGGGAAAAACTATTTGAAAGATACAAAAGAAAAATGAGGCAAAGGAGTATGATAATTAAATCCTAAAAAAAAACTTCATGGTTGAGTATATTTCACGTGGAACAAAAAGAAAGCAACAAGCAAGCCAACCTAGTCTTACTAGAAACAAAAATTAAAAAATTGCAAATGATGCAAGCTCCCTCCATGGAAGCACAATAAAATGAAAGGATAAAATAGCAAGCACTACAAAGATTCCAAAAATGACTAAACAAATCCTAACAGGTATAGGATTTGACACAATTGGATGAGAGATTGAGTTCCAAATTGTGACATACTTTTCTTGCTTCTGTGTCCTTCCAAACATTACCCGCTATGCCAAGAACCAATACAACAACAATTTGGAATATAAATATAGCACCAGTCAACTTGTCGATCATGGCATCCATAGCAGTGAGCTTTGGTTCTGGGATACCCCTACTCATGCCCAATTTGGTTTCGTTTCCTGAAGAAAACAACACACCAGATGCAAATTCAAACTTGCTGAAAAAAGTATATGGTTCTAAGAGTTTAATACGTAATAGATGGACTTGCCTGTATAGATAGCAACTCCACATGCCCACTCAGTATTTCTCAAGTAACATGACTGAAGAATTGTGTTTTTAATGGTTAAAGGGCATACATCATTATCAATAAAAGGGGGGTACAAACGCATGTTTGCATCAAATCTTCTGACGTCTTTATCTGGACTGGGACACTCAATTACACCCTAGACACATGCACACACATACAAAGAACAAGAGTAAGTAATAAGTGGTCCTACATAATTAGTATTGGCAGTAAACTTCAAACAGTTCTACAAAATATAGTTCCTACGATAACTCAAAACATACCTTAATTTTGTGTAATAGTTCAACATCAATTCCCATGCAAGCAGGAGGTATGACCCGCGTCTTTAAATCAGTTTCACCATCCAGTGCAGAAGTCTGAACACAATGCCATATCATAAGGTCGTTGAAATGTAGATAATGAATTGTGTTGTTCTTTTCCAAAAAAGAGGAAATAGGAAAGAAGAATACTGGAGTAATGCCACACACAAGTAGAAGACTAGTTTTAGCATGAATCATGACGTAAATACCTCTACATAGCAAACTCCTTGGGGATCAGACGTGCCAATCAAAACAAGGTCACAGGGCACTTCATCATTTTCACGTAGCCATATTATATTACCTACATGAATATCCTGGGCCTGAATCTGCAACACCGTCAATGAAACCCCCACCAAAAACTAATTAGATTTACCGATTAAAATCTACACGATAGTCATTTAAAATGACTCTAACTACCTCCGACATTTACACAGGGAAACACCTATATTTCAAAAATATGGTTCTTACAAGTTTCTTGACACCTTTTCTAACAACCCATACTTCCTTCTGATTAGCCTTTTTGTCTGAAAGATATCTATTGTAATCATCCCAAGCCTCTTTTGACGCGGAGACTGCAAAAATAAAGATAAGTGGACCCCATGTACTGGCAGGATTTACTGGAGTAATGAGAGGCCATAACTGCAGGCAAGCTATCAGCAAAAAGTACTGATTCATGAACCGGCTGAAATAATGAATATTTACATTTCATTACAAATTTGACACACAAACTTCCCATCAAAGCAACGTAATAGTAACTAATAAGCAGCATAAAAAGAAAGCTTACCTGAATTGTTCCCATAAATTTTTTGGAAGAAAGTTCAATAAAGTATATTTCCTATTTGATATTCGATTATCACAGTAAAGATCATGAGATGACTCGTCGTCATCGATGTAAACATAACGCTTCATTGTCGAAATCTGAGCATCTAATTCTCAAAGAGCCATATCCTGCAAGCAACAATCAAAGTGCAAACATAACGAATTGTAATTGATCATCAGTGATGCTCGGAAGAGTGAACACGAAAGTTCGTTCGAAGATTGTGAAAATCGAAATAGGGATAATAGGTTCATACCTTGGATCTGCTTCTTCGAATTGCAGATCGATCGATCGATCGTGTCTCCAATTATGTATGAGTTGCGTGTGGAATGGTGTTCAATTTTCACTATTTTCAGAACCGTGTAAAACCCCAGGAGCTATTCGGACCCTCGTTTTTCTATTCGCTCTTTTTTTTTTTTTTTTTGTATAAGATGATGAGGTCAACTTTCTTAATTCCTTTTTTTTTTTTGCATAGATATTACAATATTAAACTAACAATTTCTACCACATTCGTAGGAAGAAGTCGCTTAAAATACAATATCAAATGCGTTTAATTGATACTTCTGTAAAAAGAAAAATACAAGAGAAAGAGATGTTATTACTTTTTAAAAAGACCAAATTATCCTTGAGTAAAAATCAACTTATAATTTATAGTTAATCAAATTAATAATTTATTTTAATTTATTTCTAAATAAATTTGTTTTAGTTGATTTATTATTTATTAAATCCCAATAAAAAAATATATTATTAATAAAAAATTTATCAACTCAAAGCCCAATTTTTTAAAATCAACGTGTGACTCATTTTTTTATAATTAAAGAAAGAAAGTAACTTATATTTTAAAAAAAAACAATGGCATAAAAGATTACGCTCATATTTATTATTTTTTCTCATTTTGGGAGAGAAAGCAAAAAGGTGTAGGTCCCACCATTCTTCTCTCTTCTCACTTTTTTTGCTTGTCAAACAGAAGAAATCTTCAACTTATCTTCTTTTTCTCTCTTTCCTATCTATCTCCTTAATTTCTCTCAAACTAATCAAAGCCTTAAAGAAGACCTTGTTGTTTGGGGAATATTCTGGACTGATCCAATGACTAGAATTGGCTCAATCTGCTTCTACCTCGTATGGCCCAAACAGCTTTAGCCCACTAACTTTGATCCCCTATCGAGCACACTTGATCGACCACACCGTGGGAATGTCAGAGATTACGATGCCCTGATTGTGCGCCTGCCCGCATCAACGACCGATTCCAAGTCTGCTCGTTACTCGTCGAGTAGACAACCAGGAAGGTGCTCGAGACGCATTTGTCTGTCATCCCACTCTTGCTCGAAACAACAGCTAGTTACGGGCACGACTGTCCGTTTTAACCAAGTCTTAGCAGTTACCTATTTTCGTGGACCCAAATATTTAGGCCCAAAAATAGGAACCAATGGCTACGCGTCAGGAGCATTATATAAATCCTCACACTTGTGAGGGTCATGTATCGAATACTCATTCTAAAAAACCTTAATCTCTTTCTTGTATCTCTTTGTGCTCCTACTGACTTTAGCATCGGAGTGCCTTGCATGTACACCCCCTTCATCTCCTCAAATTTCCAGCCAAGCAGATGTCATCATCCTTCGGCCCATTTTTAGGTTCTGATCAATCGGTAAGATCAGCGACGTCGTGTGTGGGAAAGTATCTTCCCCGTCTTCCTTTTCCTCAAAACTGAATATCAAAGATACTTTCACTATCGTTATCATGGCCAACCGTGATAACTACCATCTTTCTGGAAAGACTGTACTCTCTCTCTCTCTCTCTCTCTCTCTCTCTCTCTCTCTCTCTCTCGTCCGTAAGATATATGAAAGTCAGGAGCATCCTCGTCTTGAGGATATCCCCGATGTCAGGGATGGCCGAACAGCATCTCCAGATTCGGTTGATCTTGAACGCGACAACCTCTAGTTCCTAGACGATCAAAGGTCTAAGAGCCCCAACGAGGAGCTGCCAGAAATCCTCCAGCCAGTTCATATTCTACCAAATGTCGACCCGGCCATGGAAGCGCTGCTCGCTCCCCTCAATCAAACCAACGCCCTAATCCTGCAGCAGAGCAAGAGGATTGGGGTCTGGGAGAATAAGCAGTCAAAGTCTCATCCTTGGAGACACCGATGTTTAGACTCCTACAGTCCATCTCCACCGAGGCGTGGCCGTCTCCTCGTGCGGGAGAAACAAGAAGTTTCTTTCATCAAGAAACAAGGTTGTGCACCTTCTCATAAAGATCGATGTTCCCCGATCTCAAATAAGACAAAGAGCAACCGGATTGATCGCGACTACTCGTTGTCACTCGAGCCAAAAAGGAGCACCTTTCCTCACTGGAACAACAACCCCGACGGGGAAGGGATCACCATTCCCTATCACCATCTCCTGATAGAAGCGATGATGACGAGCCTTGCGGCCCGTTATCGAGAGAAATCATGGAGACCACACTCCCTATCGGTCTGGAGAAACCTCCCCTCTTGGGAACCTATGATGGAACCACCGACCCGGACGACCACATCGAAAACATCGACGCGTTGCTCGACTATAGAGGAGTCAGTGGAGCAATCAAATGTCGGCTTTTTCCTACAACTCTCAAGAAATGGGCCATGGCATGGTACAAGAGTCTTACCGACGAGTCCAACACGTCGTGGAAGAACCTGGGAAAACAGTTTTCTGGGCATTTTACGGCGTCTCGCCGACATCCAAATTCAAAAGCATCTCTGGAGGCAATCATTCAAGGATGGATGAGTCCTTCCGAGCATATATTGAATGTTTCAACCAGGAAGTCGTACAAGTCTCCACGACTAACGGCGTGAAAAAATATCTCCTTGAATGTGGGCTTCATCACCGTAGTGACTTTGCCAAGGCAGTTGGCATCGAATCACCGACAAATTTGGATGCCCTCCTGCTCAAAGCACAGGCGTACATTTAATACGAGGAGAAAGAGGAAGCTAACAACATGCGGGACTCACGATATAGAGAGAACGTGAAGGTCTCAAAGAATGGAGAACCCTCGACATCCCATCGGGGAGGAGAAAAGAAAATGAAGGACAAATCTTGGGAGTCTCGAGACTAGAAGGGGCCACCTGGTCGCTTCCGTGATTATACTCCCATCAACGTCTTGCACGAGAAGATTATGACTGAATACACAAATGTAGAATTCAAGAAAGCAGGGGTTCGCTTCCCCCGACAACCACCGTCCAAGCCAGGGATGGACAAAAGCAAGTATTGTCGGTTTCATAAAAGTCACAGGCATACAACGGAAGACTGCATCCACCTCAAGGATTCCATTGAGATCCTCATCCGGGATTGGCGTTTCAAATAATACAGAAAGAAGGAATCTCCCTAGGAAGATGTTACTGAATTCAAACAGGTCGAAGAAGCAGGGGCTTTCCCAGACAAAACTCTCATGCATGTCGCTATGAGCATCACGAGGCTGAAGTATTTTTATTTCCCCGGCATGGAGGAGGTCCCCCTATACTTCTCATCGTAGTCCTTGGAAGTCATTCCCAGTAGAAATGGTCATTTCAGGCAGTGGGTTTAACAAATGCATTGTAGGATCGGTGAAGAGAAGATTCGAGCAGTTAATGGAGGCTAGCTCTGACATGAGTGCCACCCTCGACAAGATCATATGAGGCTATCACCCCCTCACATTATATTGGGAGGAGTTGCCCGAAGTATCCCCTAATTGTAACATCTTGTTGCTCGTACGAGCTCGCATGACAAACTTCGATGTCAGGCGCATCCTGGTCGACCAAGGTGGCTCGGTCGATACAATGTATTCTCATTTGTTCACCACCTTGCAACTGAATGAGACACATATGACCCTGTATGTGGGCTCTGATCTTTAGGGATTAAATGGTTTCGTCACTAAACCTAGTGGATATGTCGAATTGATCATTACTTTTGGCGCAAGAGTGACGTCTAGATCTTTCAAGACCTAGTTCCTTATAATTGATTTCCCATTGTTATATTAGTGCATTTTGGGAGGCCCACCTTGGCCAAACTAATAGCAGTGCCCTTTGTTGTACCCCAAAATTTGCCCTCTCATTTATCAAGATTATTCTTACAAGATCTCTTTGACTCAAGACTAGATTAGGGTTTGATCAGCTCAGAACATCTCATCATGCACTGATCACCCAAAATTAGGGTTTGAGTTTGCACAAGGGTTTTTGGACTATCAACACTTCATATGACTTTCAAACATCATTATGGACTCCTAAGTCTACTCATGACAAGTTTCAGGCCTTGAACCACATTTTTTATCAGTCAATTGGACAGCTGACCTAAAAATCAATTGTATTGGGGAAAAAGTCAACCATGGCCAATTTACAGTCAAACTTCATAATTTTTGATCCACATCAACATTTTAGACTCATATGTATTATTTTATCAAGTTTGGATCACAATTCCTCAAGAAATTTGATCAAATCATCAAAAGGGCAAAATGGTCAAAATTAGGGTTTTGACTGAGAAAGGGCAATTTCTGATTTTTGACCTAGCAAATGACCAATTGAGTTGAATCATGATTCCAAGGATTCAATTGCATCATCTTGACCTAATTATATGGTTCAAAACATTGCAAATTCATTGGATAGACAGATGAAATTTGCAGTCAACTGATCAAAAGTCAATTGTATACTGAAAAGTCAAACTTTGACTTTTTGGTCAAAATCAAGTGCCAAGGGTCAAAATTCATCAAAACATGTCAAAATGTGAAACTTGTTCATCAAGAAATCAAGGATTGAAGATTAGGTTTTAAAATTGGAAATTTTCTTAACTTAGAAATTTTTCTAAGTATAGAAAATTTCTTATTTTTTCTCAACTTTAAGCCATTTTCACCATGATACAAGATGATTCAAGGAAAGTTCCAAACATGAAAGTTGTAGACCTCCATGAAATATACAACTTTAATTCACACGCTTTTCCCTAAAGATGCTTGGATCTCAAGATATAATTTTATGAATACATGCTCATGAACTAAAATAACTTAGTGAAATTTTGCCCTAATTTAGGCAGGTTTTGGACCCAACTTCATGGCAATTTTTCACCTAGTTCCAAGAGGAATCTTGAAATTCAT